TTATCTAGTTTATATATGTTGGAAATGGAATGAATGGACTGGGGAAACGTAAACGGGCCGTTAGGCAACCGTAAATGATGAATATCCAATTGGGAACAAAGAAACAATAAAAGAAATATGAATGAATGGGGAAAATGTGACAACGGGTCCGAAATGGGAATTGTGAAAATTAACTCCGCAACAGTTCGCCACAGCGCCCGCCTATCCTCCCGTCAGCAATCTCCTCGTCTCCAGCTTTCCAAGGAGCCCTTATTCATCCCAATTGGTGCAGTGGTTCTTGAGATGTGGAGAGGGGGTGAAATTGGCGGCGTGGTTGGGCGTGGGAATTTTGCTTGGGGTTGTCGGGAATGATGGGGAAAATAAGGAAAAATAAGGAATGAGTGTATGGAGTGTTGGATAGTGATAGAATGAGCATCGGGAGTGTCAGCGGGTATGTAGTGGGTGTTTGTGGCCAAATTCCGCAGAATCCGACTCTTTGCGGTACACGGAGTTGTCCCCACAACAACGTCATCAACTAGCTTCAGGTGCCCAGTTCCTGACTTCGCCATCTTCTTGACCTCGGCCGGTGCATCTGGTAATAGCGTCACTTGATAAATTGATCGATGGTGCAACTGGCTCCTGAGGGGAACCTGGTGCTCCGAATCTGCGACCTGCCAATATTCGCATTCGGGTGGGCGCATCATGTGCAGCTGGTAGGTTGTCTGTACGTCCTCGGCTATAAGCAATGGAACCGTCATGCCCTTGAGGACATAGACTTCCATGTCCCGCAACAGGACGTGCCCCAGCTGTGATGGTAGATAAAGGTCTATGACTGTGTAACCCTGACATTTGGCCTTTCTGGTCAGTTGGACCAAATTCAGCTTCATCCCTTGCCGGAGTCTGGATCCTTCGCTTTTGATGCGATCAAATAATTCAGCGGACATCAGCGTGCAGGCGGCTCCAGAATCCGCCAACGCCTCGACCTCGTGGCCGTTGATGGTGTTCACACGACATCGCACTCTACACGCATCAGATCCCAAGGACTGCTGACCTGGGGGACGGCCGAACAACTTGCGTGCCTCATATATTTCACCCACGGTCCTGGTCGCACCGATGAGTTTCTCCTCACGGGGAATTTCACCCCAAGCGCATGCAACAAGGTAGGCATCAGGCGTCTCTTCAGGACTCTCTACATCTAGTACGTCCGCAGGATCTGAGTCGGACAGGGTACAAAACTCGGTGTAAGCGACTGCAAATTCCGCTTCCTGCCCTTCCACCAAGGCAGTATACGCCCGTCGATAGGAATGCTCCAACTTGGAGGGACCACCTCGATCCTTGCGATCACTCTTGGTCCTGTCCACCTTACAAGGTGGACAGTCGTTGTCCCAATGCAGGGCACTCCCGCAATGTCTACAGGGTCGAGGCAGCTTCTTACGTGATTTGAAGTCACTCATGGGGTAGGTGTGGCTCTCCGATGCTGCGGCTGTGCTTCGAGCTTCTACCCGATCTGTTCCATGTTTGTTCCTTTCGAAGTTCCACCTGGCAACCTTGTTGGCAATGGCATCGATGCTGTACTCTTCGGTGGCCACCAGCTCATTGTGTTTGAGTGCGACCATTCATTGGAGTGCCTCCGCTGTCTCAAGATGGTCGATGTTGATGTGGGCCCACCATCCTTTGGGAACATCCTCCAATAACCTTTGGACTTCACCCTTCAGGACATCCTGACTTGGTACATCGGCCAGAGGGTAGAGAGTACACAGTAATCGCAACTTGCGTGTCATGAAATCGAGCGGTGTCTCTCTCGTGTGACCCTCACCTTTACAGTATCAACACAAGTGGAAACGCTCTCGTATTTTGTCGATAAACGCAGGCGTCAAGAAGTAGTGTAATATATAGCTGTGTAAAGCCTCCCAATTTCGAGTGAAATACAGCTTGTCGGCTGTTGGGACAGTAGTCCACCAGTCCGCAAGTTTGCCCTTAAACCTCTTTGTTACGGATACGGAGTCTCCAATGACCATATCCGTCGCATGGTCAAAGACTTCCCCTCTCTATCGCTCCTCCCCTCTTTCTCCTTTCCGTCCTCTATCCCGCTACCCTATCCTCCTTACCCGTTCTACCCCTTTCCCCCCCCCTTGTGCAAAGCTTTCCCCATTGGGGTTTTGGTGCTGGCCGAGGTTGTTTGAGTTTCGCGGGATTTCCCACGACCTTACCATTTGTAGATAGTCACACGTCATGTACGGAAACCGCTGAAGGCGGTTCCCACTAACTAACAACTGCTCTACAACTGTCTCGTGTACCGTCTTCTGTAACAACCCTCCCTGTGACTCAACTGAACCCGTGTGACTGTACAACTCTCAATATGTCTTATAAGTCTGGTTATATCGAGTCCTCTAACGGCCCTCGCCGTGAGAACTCGAGGTCGAGAGTCGAAGACTCTCGACATGTGTATCATCCTACTGAATCTGTACCCTATGGGTCTTCATCACTCCGCTCTCCCCCCAGTACTCAACATACGACGTCACCTCACGATCTTGGAGATCGTGAATACTTTGAGGCCCATCTTCCCGTGATGCCGGCACATTCGCTACACGAACGCCAAGTCGCCGCCCATCCACCGTCTGTTCCCTCCTTCGCCAGTCATCATGTTTCCCCACCAACGGTACGTTCCCTTTGGGAACGCCAAGTCACCGAAGGCCCTACTAGTTGGTCCTCATCACACGCTTATGACATCAACCTGCTACCGGTACGTTCGCACTGCGAACGCCAAGTACCCGATAGCAACTATATGAAGTTCTCACCCATCTCACAAGTCGCGACCTCGCACACGGTACGCTCCATTGAGGAGCGCCAAGTACCCGTGGCTGACCCGTCCGTCCTGGCATCTCCGACTACCTACCATCAATCCCTTAATAGCTCACTACATCACCAATCGCGATCGATGGGAACTCGATCGTCCACCCCCAGGCAAGACTGGGATCACTCATCAATTACATATCCTGTTATGGTACAGACCAGATATGACCTCACTCATCCCACTATAAGAACGGATCGAGGAATGGGGAATTTCCCCCATCCCCGTAACACTCTTGGGCAGGACTCCTGCCATTTGTTGGGTGAAGGCTGCCGAGTGTCTTGCTAAGTTTTGACAGATACTGCACCAGGTTATATAGCTGTCGATCGAGCCATCGAACTCAGGGAAATCTGACATAGTGTACTTACGATCGACATAAGGTTGTGTCCAGTCGAATGGGAGGTATGGCCTGATTCCTGGCATTTGGTGAGGAATTACGGCGCCTGGCCCTGGAGGTGGTGGAGGTGGAGGCGCCCCTGCCTGACCTCCTGGCACAGGTGGTGGCGGTGGCGGTGGCGGTGGCGCACCTGCTTGACCCCCTGGCAGGAGCGGTGGTGGAGGGGGTGCACCTGCTTGACCTCCTGACGGAGGCGGCGGATAGTTGTGTGGAGGTGGCCCACCCTGGGCTAGAGGTGGGTCTGGAGGAGCAGGCGGCTGTGGTGGTTCATCGCCTCGGCGATATTGTGGCCACAGTTGGGGTCCAGATCTAACTGGCTCCATAACAAGGTTCATAGGAGCGAGAGGATCTCGAAACAAAGAGCGGGCGGGACCCGTATTGGACCCAGGTCTGTTCCTATCATTCTGATGCCTCTCGTCGGCGGGGCCCACCTCTGTCTTTCTGCCCTTGAGGCCTTGAACAAATTCTGCGTAGTCCAGGTCTTTCTTGGGATCATGGAGCGTATAGGATTCACGAGGATGGTCCGTCATTGGTAGGGTCCCTTCATCCCTTTGTAACATCGCTGCAGCGACATTAATGCTGGGCCTGGGAACAGGGAGCTCTATTGGCAGCTGCTGGCGTTGATGTATGAAGGTGACTTCATCGACTGCTGGTTCGCACTGACTGTTTAGTTCCCAACCCAACGTCTTGCAGGTCGACTCGCAGGTAGGCCTAATCTCTGCGGACCATGCCCTTTCGACCGATTCCGGGTCAGTGAAAGTGGTATGTGGCACACTGGCCGGCCTGAAACCGCCGAGCCGCGATTCATCAAACTCTCGTGAAGGGTCGACAGCCCTTTTTATGGAATCGAAGTGCTTCTCGAGGGCATTGAGCCGTTGGTCAAGGAAGTGCCATACGATATCGAATTCCTTCTGTGATGCCCAGCCTTTCTCAGCCAGCATGAGTGAGAAATCGCCACACAGGTCTATGACGAATTCGCCTGTGGCGAATTTGGTGGCAGCGGCCAGACGTGTGAACACTGAAATCTTCGAGAACATATCAGTCAATCCTAGTCGATCTAGGGGTGCGAGCCGGTATCGCAGTGTTGGCTTAGCACTGTCATCGGGGACGAGTTCTCTTTTGAGCCGGGCTGGCATGATTCTCCACCAATTACGGATTTTGGTCATAGGGGCATCGGGATCGTTGAAAACTCCACCCTCGAACTCTCTGATGGCCTCTATGATGAGTGTGAGATCTCGTCGCCTCCGAACGGCTTCAGGTGAGGTTCACACATCACCCCATGGGGAAGATGTTGCTGCGGAGTCGGGTACCTGGTAGGAGAGGGTGTTTTGTGTGGATGACACCAAGGTATCATGGTTGTGCATCGATTGAGCTGGCATCCTTAGTGGCATTGTTATGGAAATGGAGAATCTTATGGTCTGTGACAGGCAACCAGACCTTGAGGCCCTTCGCTAGGGAAATGGGCCTAGACTCCTATAGACCAGGCACACAGGTAAGATATTTCTTACTTCTTCTCACTTCATTCTCTGCCAAACCCCATGCCAAGCTTTCCCACTGGGTTTTGGTGCTGGCTGGGGGATTTGTTGATTTCCAAAGGACTTCCTTTGGCCATTATAACAGTTGTATTAGATAGATACAAGTCATATGATATGTATGGCAATTGCCGAGATGGTTTTCTCATTATCGAATACATAACCCAAAAACCTTGTACCGCAATTGTAACGTCTTCACCATTGTGCCACCACTGTAAACTCAACCTGTAACCTTGGAACCATGTCCACCTCCCTATTCCTCCTTTCCATGACAAAACCGCAGCGAGGAGGGCATTCCCACGCCCAACCTCCTGCTGCCCACTCCCACCATTCCACCGGGTGGTTGAGTGGTTACTCCCATCCAACCAGAAGTTCCCTATCAGGAACTGTAGCCTATCCCACCTCCTCAGGAGAAGGATATGGTCCAGGCAGCTCCAGGATGCCTGGCCACGCACCCGCGGGTCCCACTTCCCACGGTCACCCTCTACCATGCACTGGTCCACCAGCCTGCTTTCCCAAACAACTCCCGCTACCGGTACGCTCCAATGAGCGCCAAGTCACCGATAGCCACCAACTGGGTGACTCCCTTTGGGAGTCCCAGTATCCCTCACTACCGGTACGCTCCATCGAGCGCCAAGTTACCGCTAGCCAAACACCCCCAGCATACCTGCTACCGGCACGCTCCCAGGAGCGCCAAGTCCCCGTTAGCAGACAGCCAGGTGGCTCCCTCAAGGAGCCCACACCATACTCGCTACCGGTACACTCCCAGGAGCGCCAAGTTACCGTTGGCCAACACACAGGTGGTACTTCCGTACACTCACCCTATTCCGCTCTCCCTCCGATGGCTACGCAGCCACCTCCATTAGTGAGCCGAACGGCTCAGGTTGGGTTCCCCGGAACCCATTCCTGTAACATTGGTGCCCCAACCCCGGTCGCACCATCATCAAACTCAATCGTGCGACCTCGAGCTCACACACAGGAGGATTACTCATCTAACTTAGGCACTGTCAACTCAGACTATCAGTTTTCCACTATCCCACTAAAGCGTGCGCTAGACGAGTTTTCATCACCACGGAGATTCTATTATGAGCGCGCGCCTATGGACATGCTACGTGAATGGCAACGGCTGGGCCCAGACAACATAGAGGTTCAGCCATTCCATAAACTGACTACAGGCTCCTCCACCTCCTACCGTCTCATTGACGAGCGCTGTAAACAGCTGACCCTAATCCTTCGTGCGATGGACCACTTCACCCAAACCATCTCCGGTTCCGACCTCATCCGTGCCACGTTCAAGGCAGATCCAGAACGGATTGTCTACTCCACATTGATCACGTCAGGCTGGACCGAGCTAAGCACCTTACATCGAATTTGGAGCTATCTACAGCGAAAACTAGCTGACTTTGTTCTGCACTTTGAACATGCTAAGGAGGTCCTCGCCCTCACACAGTCCCGAGCAGCGAGCTCCCGTTTCATCACAACCGACCCCTCATTGGCACCAGTACGACCTCGCACACCTGAGGTCGTTGCGATCCCGCCCGCTGCAGAAAAATTGGAGTTGCCCTCACTACACCCGTCCTCAGCGCCAGATGGCACAGTTGCAGCTTGTACGTCGAGCACAGAACGCTGCAACAGCTCGACACCCCAGTCTCGTCAAATGACCGTTCCTGCGCAACACTCATTTGAGCTGGCACATCCATTGGTGCAACTTCGCCCAAGCGTGGCAGGTTCATTATGCGCAGGGCACCTCACCGGCTCAACCTGTCGCAAGACTGAATCGATGTCACTGGCTGCTCAGTTGGTTCGGCCGGCTGCAGACTGTTCAACAAGCTCAACGGGCACTATCAGCCCCTCACGTTATGCATCCCGTCTGTCGAGTGCCACGCACCTTGACGGTTCGACACAGCTCGTAGTGGACCCGGCGCTTCCAACCATCCAGATGGACCGACCATCTGTTCCTTCACAACATTCACCCGAGCCATCACACATACATGAATTGCTCTGTCCAGATGTGTCCTGTCTGTCGAGTGTAACACACCTTGACGGTTCAATGCATCGCGTGGCTGCATCATTACCTCCGATCGTGCAGTCAGACCAGCTAGCAGCTTTATGGCAGGGTTCGCTTGAGCGGGCACACCCGTTAGTACAACTTCGTCAAGTTGTGGCATATGCACCAAGCGCGAGGCGCTTCGCTAGCCCAATCTGTCGCAAGGTCGAACTGGCATCACTTGCTAATCAGTTGGATCGACCAGCTGTCTCATCGCTTAGACCAATGTCCCCGTTCAGGCATTGTCCAGTTGCGGACCGTCCAATAAGCGTGACGGAATCCATTGGCCCTTCACATTGCCAGGTTGAACCGTTGTCCTTGTCGGTTCAGTCAAACCTCCCGATTGATGCGTCCTGCACATCAAGCGCAACAAACCTTGCCAGTTCGACACGGTACATAGCGGAATCTAGCTCCCCGACTATCCAGACGGACCGACTGTCTGATCTTGCGCAGCACCCACTGGGGCCACGTTCATCGGAGCTGGCATGTCCAATCAGCTTGACACCTTCCGTGGCCAAGTTAACATCACAATCTGGCCAGTTGGGTTCCATTACTGGTCCCTCACGGTGTCTGCCTGAGCCAATACACTCAGATGAGCTGCATCGCTTAGTCATGGCCTGGTCATTGAGCGCGGTACACATCTCCAGCTTGACGCATCATGCGGCGTTTAAGTGCCCAACTGTCCAGTTGGATCACCCAGCTACACCCTCGTGGTACCCACGCAAGTTGGCATGCTCGGACGAGCCATCGAGCTCAGTTTCCACCTCAACTGCAACGTACGCGGTCAGGTTGATGTGTCATATGGGTGAGCCGATACCATTGCCAATCCAGCTGGGATCTCCAACCGGCCCTCCACGGCATCCACCCAAGCGGACACGTTCCGACGAGTTGCTTCGTTCAGTCACGGCCTGTTGGATGGGTGCGGTCCAACCCACCAGCTCATCATCCCACCTGGCTAAGTCAACGTTAAAACCCCTGGCTAACCAGTCAGATCAACTGGCTGTCCCTTTGCAGCGTCCAGTTGAGTCAGCATGTCCGTTCGAACAGCACCGCTCAATTATGGATCATTTGTCAAACACAACATACTCTTTCAGCTCGACACCTCGCAAGTTTGAATCATCGACCTCGCTCCATCCATTGTCCCATTCAGTTGCGACCTGTTCATCGAGCACAACTTCAAGCTTCATTGGTTTGACACGTCGCAAGGTCGGACCCGCGTCCCTGCCTGTTCGTTCAGACAGTGCGGCCATCTCTTCATGCCACCCTCTCGTGTTGGCTCGTTTGAATAAGCCGGACGGCCCAGTTCCCGCTAGCTCAGCGATGGCAATGCATGTAGTCAGAGTGAGGCCTCACACGGCCAGGCAGATGTCACCACTCATCCAATCGGGACTGCTGGTTGCATCTGCGTCTCATCCCCATGACTCAGAACGCCTGCATGTGCTACATCAACCAGAGACCGCCCGCTCTTTGAGCACAACCTACGCTATTAACATGGTGTGTTATATAGTTAGATCAATGCTCCCGATTGCCTTGCTGGATTCGCCAGTCATTCCCTCACGATGCCATCTCAAATCATCCTGCTTACGCGTGCCGGATCACTCAGTCGTGGTCAGCTTGCCAAGTGCGGCACATTCCAGCAGCTTGTCCCCCCTGTCAGGTCGAACGGTTACTCCTATGTGGCACTTACCTGAGCTGGCACGTCCAATTGGTCCGTTTCGTCCAGTCAGGGCTCATTCTCCAAGAGTGATGCACTGCTCCCACAATCCATCATGTTACATAGTCGAACTGAGGTTAACGGGACGACCGGAACGCCTGGTCACACCTTTGTGGAACCCGCCCAAGTGGTTCCCTGTTGATCTTTTGTGGCAGCCACCAGAGTCGACAAGTTCGGACGAGTCACGTCGCTCAGATGTGACCTCTCCATCGAGTATGACCCGATACGCCAGCCTAGCGCGTCGTGCCGTCAATTTGACATTATCGCTAGTCCAGTTACACTTGTGTCATGCGATCGAGCCGGCGCCCTCACTGGCCCAGTCGGTCCCTTTGGTTGCTATTTTGCGCTGTACTCCTGAGTCGCCAGACCCCTTGACTGATGACCCATCGAGCTTGATGCAACTAGTCAGCCCGACGCTCTTGTCCGTTCTGTTGGGCCTTCCAGCAGCTTACTCCCGTCACCCTCGTGGGCTGGGAGGCTGGCATGATCCGTACCATCCAGCTAGTGCTGGATCACCACGGGTGACAAGTTACACCGGTTCGACACGTCAAGCGATTGCGTATTCAGTCGTCATTGATGTCCAGACGCTCAACAGAGTTTTCCGCTGTGAAGTCATTATGTCCAACCCCCAGCTGGGTGGAACTCAGATTATGACGCTGATGTGGTCAAGGCACGTTACCGACGCCAAAGGCGGCCATTTCCCAACTACCTCGCCCTTTGATGGTTGGATCCGTGAACTGCTACCTTTGCTTGTCAGGTCGGATTCTCTGGCGGATCCTCCACATCATTCATATGAGCTAGATGAACGGTACCATTCAGCCATGGCCGGTTCGTCGATTGCTGTGGTTTCCATCAATTTGATGGGCCAAATGACCGAGCCGGTGTCATTACCTGGAGTGGTCCATGATTCAAGTATGACACACTACGTCAGTATGAAGTGTCATGCCTCCAAATCGACGTTACCTCTCGCCCAGTCGTTTCCTCCGGACACCCCTTTGCGTCATCCTCCTGAGCTAAAGTGTTCACGCGAGCTGCAATGCTCAACCATGGCGCACCCACTACACACGATGCATACTGTCACCGCAGCGTATTGTGCGATAGAGCTGACGTCTTCGCTGGGCCAGTCGAACCTGTCGACTGTCATTTCACGCCGTCCCCTGGAGCTAGCGCGTCTACTTGAGTCATACAGTTCAGCGGTGGTCCATCCGTTGACCTTAGCGTATCGCCAGATGAACCTTCTGGCCGATCCCTTGCGTTGCCCGGCCGAGTCGGCATACTCGCGTGAGACAGATTACTCAGGGGTAGGAGAATCAAACAAGGACCATCTGGCTGTTCTTACATCCTGCGTTCTCGAACCTGGGTGTTCGCGCCATCTGTGTCACTCAGCCCTGACTAGTCGACCAATTGTGATGAATCACATCCGTTTATCGTGCCAAGCGGTCAAGCCGACCCCTTTATCTACTCTTGTAGGCCTATTGACTGTTTCTATGCACTCCCTTCTCGAGGCAGCACACTGGCAGTGGTCGCACTACTCGGTATCAGCACACACACTAATTAAGACTCGTCCCGCTAGTACATTGCACTGTGCAGACAAGTCGACATCCTCATACAACTGGCTGGGTCTCCGTGCAGTACCCACTTGTCAACTCCCTGAGCCAGCATACCTGCATGGGCTATGTTGTTCGCCAGTAGCCCATCTATCGATCTCGGCGCGTTTCACCAGGATGACGCGCCAGACGTCTGAGCCAGAATTCACGCATGTCCACTCAGGTCCTCTAGCTGATGCAGGTTACCATCTTCTCGAGCCGGCTCTTTCGTATGGCTCACACATGGTTTGTACATCGTCGGAAACGCATCCCATCAGATCAGCGCAACGTACGGTCAAGCCGCCCTTGCACGACCAGTCGGATCCACCGGTGGTTCCTGTCCACCGTCCTCTAGATTTGGCGTGCACCGTGATCCATTATGTAGTTGAGCCGTCATCCCCATTTGGTCTGTCAGATTTCTCGGCAATTCCTGCGACGTATTCCCTTGAGCAAGTACCTTCACGGGTATGGACACAGCCAGAGCTCGAGTTGTCGCACACGGAGCCACTACGAGCATCACTGTCCATGTCGTGTCCCAAATCTCTCAAACGGATATACACCGTATCGCTGTGCTTGGAAATGACAGGCACGATGCAAGCGCCGCCATGGCACCATCCTCGTGAGACGCGGTACCCACCGGATGTGGTACACCCCACATTGTGGCAGTCATCAAACGTGGTTTTCATTCAGGTTGTGTGGTCAGCTACACGTCGGACCCGACCAAGAGTGGACCTAGGAAGAGCCCTTATACCCCGTTGGTGGTCTCAGGTCGTACCAAGCCTGGCAAATTACATGTCACGCGGTGTTGTGCGAATTCAAGGCCATGATCATCCACATGGCATTTATAAGCATGGCAACAGCAGCATTATGATACAAGTTGCTTCCTTCCCTGCTGGAAGACTAAACGTTACACCGTGTTACTGTGAGAACCCGAGCTCCGACAGAAAAACCGTCGCCATGACTCGGCCCGAAAGCTCGCAGTGGCACCTCTTCCAGGCCAATTGCCTATGCGTCTCTGTGTCCTCAACTACTCCCAGGTCCACAGCCGCATCGTCAGATCAGTCAAATCCGATCGTCCTACCACACCCTCTGAGATGGTCAAATCATCTGATCAAACGAGGGAATCCGCTTCCCAGCCCGGTCCATTCTGTCTTCCCAGTATCATACTGCGTGGTTGGTCTATCTCGACTAACTTCCGAACCCACGCAGTCCTTCCGCGTCCTTGCACACTCACCCTCCATTCAGTCACGTCGGTCCAGTGTAGGTGAAGAGGAGTTGAGCCCTCGAGATTCAATGACCGGGTTCTCAGAAAACCAGTCCCTCCGCCAGAGGACCGCCCCAAAAGGGACTTGCATTAAACAAGTCATCGGCAAGGTCCTATCGTCATACTCATTAAATACAGAGGACGAAAGATTCAACTTGGGTCTAATCAGACCAGCCTCTCCCTCCTTCCCTCCAAGCTATTTCTGAGACCCCTGGTCTCCAACTCGGCTCCATATTGGGCTGATGCAGGAAGGGATACGCGCGCTTCAGCGAACCTATTTACCATTGTTTGTTTCGAAAACTCCCGGACATTGTCTCTCTCCGTGCCCCCCCCTCAGCACCCATTCCTAGCCTCTGAAGGCAGCCATGGCTGATCGAAATTCGCTGGGTAGCATCAGTGGCTGGGATGGGAGTTAAAGCCCACAGCGTGGTCATGGTATATCGGAAGCCGCCGATAACAATTCTCAACAGCGACCTCCATGCCTCTGGTCATGGAGGGGAACTATCCGTACCTGCAACGGACTTCAGTTCAGTTGGCTACCCTCGATCTGCCAACCGAATACTACCGGCTATCCGGATCCGGTATCACCAGTTACAGTTTCCATTCCTTATTGTACCATACGTTTTCATGTCTCTATTACGACCAGACTCATCGAGTTCCAAGCTGTCGATCGTCACCCTCTCAGGGATCGATCTCAGGGAGGTTAATCCCTTACGTTTTCACGTCTCTATTACGACCAGTTCCAAGCCATCGATCGTCACCCCCTCAGGGATCCCAGGGGAGGTTAATCCTACCCCAAACTGCACCATGCACGAATCTTCGCACCTAACCCGGTCGTTGCCAAGTCACTCTGGCTAGGTAGTTCCCGGACCCGACTTCACTAGACATCTCTAACCCGACCACTCAACGCACGTCCCATCTAGGGAGTCCGCCAGCCACAGCATGTTTCCCCATACGCCATGCCCGTGCTGGTCGTTCCACCACGTAGACTCAATGAAGTGGGCTAGTCAACGCACACGTTGTGCCCAAGGATCTCCTATCGGATCGAACTTCGACCTCGATCATGGTGCCTATGACGGAAGGCTCACTCGTGAGCTAAAAGTATGACCCTCACAACATAATGCGCCAACAAGAGAGGCCTACAGTTTGGAGCCTCGGCTACGGCACACCCTCAATGCGCTGGTCTCACGAGACCCCACGTCTCCTGGAGAGGATTGTCTGCTCTCGTTACTGCCATCTGCGAACTCGCGGTGTTTGGTCGTACCGGCTGCGAACCGTGCCAAGAACGGTGTCTCTGATCGCTACAGCGCCCCTGCAGGTCGTCGCTCATACGCAACGTTTGTAATATTCGCATGGAGCACAAGTATGCGCGAGGTGTCCCTTCTGCGTCCTTACGCTCACACCAACGGCTCCGCCGCCAACGATGATCTACTGGCATAGGTGCAGAGTGGAGGGGACTTCTCATGTCCAAGTCATGGGCTCGATCTGCCAATCCGACTTCGTCCCCTAGAAGACATGGACAGGTCTAGGCGGGAAAACTCCTTTTGGCCCAGGGTTACTCAAGTCAGACGATGAGGGCATGATTGTCTCGCTCAGGTACAAGGGATGACGCCTTAACCCGGATCGTCCTGGATGCCGTCCCGGGTGCCACTGTTGACTCAAGTCGGAGATGGTTCCCTCCCCAGCGGACGTAACGGTTTTGACTGTTAGGATGCCAAACAACCTCACCACAGCCGCCCAGGTTCAGGCCGTGGCTGAGTACCACAGACAACGGACCCAAGCAGCTGGGCTCAGTCAGCACCGCCATAGAACTATGGACACTTTTGGCTGCTACCCCAGGGTCGGCCTTGTTGCCCGTGGTTTCAAAACCGCGTGGTCCCAAAGCTACTTCAACACCTGACGGCCCCGGAAGTTCCACTACCCAGCAACACCGACCCCAACAGGATCACCCACCTTATTATACCCTCGGTGGTGTCCATCACTATGCTGCAATGATCTCTAGGGTGAATTCCCTTTGCCAATGGATGAGGCCGGCTCCCTCCCATGTAGATAGACCCAACTCCCGAGTCGGACACCAGGTACCGCACCACCCCGATGACTCAAGGTGGACTACCAGTGGGGAAACGGCTGCCGAAGAGCGCGGGAAAAACTAGGGGAGATTGGGGTGCCAAATCAACAGCTACATTCTGTCTTTGATTATTCATCTCGGAAGGATAGAGAGCGAATGCAAGAACCAATGATCGCCCAGGCTGTCTTGTGAGGCTTCCAACCAATTTAGTACAGATGAAATGAGACAAAGCCGGCATACAACCTACATTCAATCCCAGCTCTATCCCTCCAACTCCTCCTATGTGGGTTGGGTGACCATCCCGGATCTTCTATCGCGCACAGGCCACCTCCAAGCTGTTGTGTTTAGAATGCCAATGTCCATATTAAGCCAAGCACAACCCTATGTGAAGGAGGGGGATTTCCACGTGGGAAACAGGACATGCCACACTACCTGGTCCGAGTCGTCTAACTGGACTACAGACAGATGATCCAATTTCAGGACACCTAGGATCCCTGGTCTAGTCCTAACATGATTGCACACAAGATCATGCTGCCCAAGCTCGTTGCTGGACCAGAGCCAGATGAAGTCTAGGACCACATCTGTAAGGATGGTCTCCAAGCTCCATTCCTAAACCAAGGCCAGCAACACTGGGAACCTGGGCTCTTGGATAATCAGAGGAAAGACATTGCTGTCACACTGGCCCATAAGAGTCTGGGGGGCGATGTTATGGAAATGGAGAATCTTATGGTCCGTGACAGGCAACCAGACCTTGAGGCCCTTCGCTAGGGAAATGGGCCTAGACTCCTATAGACCAGGCACACAGGTAAGATATTTCTTACTTCTTCTCACTTCATTCTCTGCCAAACCCCATGCCAAGCTTTCCCACTGGGTTTTGGTGCTGGCTGGGGGATTTGTTGATTTCCAAAGGACTTCCTTTGGCCATTATAACAGTTGTATTAGATAGATACAAGTCATATGATATGTATGGCAATTGCCGAGATGGTTTTCTCATTATCGAATACATAACCCAAAAACCTTGTACCGCAATTGTAACGTCTTCACCATTGTGCCACCACTGTAAACTCAACCTGTAACCTTGGAACCATGTCCACCTCCCTATTCCTCCTTTCCATGACAAAACCGCAGCGAGGAGGGCATTCCCACGCCCAACCTCCTGCTGCCCACTCCCACCATTCCACCGGGTGGTTGAGTGGTTACTCCCATCCAACCAGAAGTTCCCTATCAGGAACTGTAGCCTATCCCACCTCCTCAGGAGAAGGATATGGTCCAGGCAGCTCCAGGATGCCTGGCCACGCACCCACGGGTCCCACTTCCCACGGTCACCCTCTACCATGCACTGGTCCACCAGCCTGCTTTCCCAAACAACTCCCGCTACCGGTACGCTCCAATGAGCGCCAAGTCACCGATAGCCACCAACTGGGTGACTCCCTTTGGGAGTCCCAGTATCCCTCACTACCGGTACGCTCCATCGAGCGCCAAGTTACCGCTAGCCAAACACCCCCAGCATACCCGCTACCGGCACGCTCCCAGGAGCGCCAAGTCCCCGTTAGCAGACAGCCAGGTGGCTCCCTCAAGGAGCCCACACCATACTCGCTACCGGTACGCTCCCAGGAGCGCCAAGTTACCGTTGGCCAACACACAGGTGGTACTTCCGTACACTCACCCTATTCCGCTCTCCCTCCGATGGCTACGCAGCCACCTCCATTAGTGAGCCGAACGGCTCAGGTTGGGTTCCCCGGAACCCATTCCTGTAACAGGCATGGTGCGATCTAGTCGCACCAGGGTTGGGGCACCACTGTTAAAGAAATGGGTTATGGGTAATCCATTTCTTTCCGTCCTTATAGATGACTTGTAATTGTCCACCTCATGTATGTAGGGCGGCCTAGTCATGTAATTAGAATTGTCCGATAGCCTTGGAGCTTTTGACAGAAAGCTGAGACCTCGCGGTGAATGGGAGTCTGCTATGATGGATACTTGGTGCTCGTTACGTGAGTGTACCATGCACGGGTGTATAGAATCACAGGTTAAGGGAATATCCAGAACGGGACCAGTCGAGGACAAAGGGCTAATGGGTACTTGGCACTCGAGGGAGCGTACTGGTAGCGAGTGAGATAACAGCTCCTTGAGGGAGCTTCCTGAGATATGGTTGACAGGTACTTGGCACCCAATTGGGTGTACCGGCAACGAGTGATGTTCTAGCTCCTTGAGGGAGCTACTAGAGGCTGGGTTGATGGATACTTGGTGCCCAGATGGGCGTACCGGCAACGAGGTATGAGACCGTTTGTCTGGCGAACGGTCTGTATTCATGTCAACGGGTACTTGGCACTTGTAAGAGCGTACCGGTGACGGAGGGGTTAGTCGATCGTAGGTCGAACGACACGTGGTGGGATTGACGGCTACTTGGCACTCGCGAGAGCATACCGGCAACGAGGGGAACGGGCTTGTATCGAATACCAATCCGTCCATAGAATTAACCAGATGCTCACCATAAGGTGAGACAGACATGAGCCCAGTACCTGGGCGAGCGACGTGAGTCATTGTCAGGGCACATACCCTGACTTAGCCCGGACCCGGACCCGCGTCCGGACCCGCTCCACTTCCCACGCACTTCCTGCACCGCACGCTCCGCGCGCCGCATGATCCGACCCCGGATCCCACCTCATGTGACTTCCGGGTATCCCCGGAAGTTTTCGCCATATTGGGGCCACTGTGGGAAAGTGAGAAGTTAACCTTCTTCTCACTTTCTTACCCACAGTAGGCAAGTGTAGCCTACTCTTCATTTATCTATACACTTTCTTACCCACAGTAGTTATGCCCTGAGATGGGCTGTGTTTACAGGCTAGACTGTGGGCTGTAGAGAGGGGTCATGGGGACCCGGGGTCCGTCCCCTGACAGTCATGACAAAAGGTGTTCGCGCATACCTGAGTTGAGTCGCACGTGAACTCGACAATCCGTGGCTAGAGTCGTCAACCTCGGTAGGGATGACCCATATAGATGGTGACCGAGACATACACAATCTTACACAGACATTACAGTGTTGGCACAAGGAGGTTTACAGTTGTTGCACAGAAGAGGATGGTGTGTTATTTGTTAGGTTCCGTCTTTTCGGCTGTAGTCATACATGAATGTGACGCT